ATATATACATATATATAGTTATACCGTATATTTTTACTTAATGATCTGATAACTGATCATCATATTGATTTATTCTGTCTGACAGAAACCTGGCTAAAACATGAATATTTTGTTAGTATAAATGTTAAAAATGTTAAATGTCTGTTAAGTTATTGGCAAGAACCAATGCAGACATGTTCCTGTTTTTAGTTTTCTACATCGCCTTAAAATGTAGCTGTTTTTGCTACTTTGCCATCTTATTTTAATTTTTTTAAAAATCTGTATGCCTCTCTTTTATGATTGTCTATTGTTGTCACTGTTGTCATCACTCTTTGTTAACATCAGGTCTCTCTTGTAGATGAGACCTCGAGGCTCAATGGGATTAACCTGTCTAAATAGAGGTTGAATGAATAAATGAATCCACTCCACCTAATTATTTAAATTTTCATGCTTCTTAGAACAACTGGTCGAGGCGGAGGTGTAGCTTCTATTTTTCAGTCGGCACTATTGATTAATACAAAACCAATTATTAGTTACAACAGTTTTGAGTCACTATCTTTAAGTCTATCCCATCCTAAATGGAAATCGGAACGGCCACTCTCACTAGTTGTTATATATCGTCCACCAGGCTCCTATGCTCAGTTTTTGTCTGAATTTCAGAATTCTTAACTGACTTACTACTAAATATTGATAAAGTCATAATAATGGGTGATAGGTGTCAAACCCACTTACAAAATGCAGTCAAAATTAAAACCTTTTTCAAACTAATAGCCTGTTTCAGAATCTATATTAACTGAAGTTAGATACCCAACATCTTTTCTTGGTCACAGGTTCCTCAACAAGAGTTTGATTGGTCTTATTGGAAGTCCTATGTTACACTTTTGACATCATAATTAAAGATTACTGAAAAAAATTAAAGTGATAAATGTATTTTACATTTAAAATAACATCCTGAAGGCCAGATAAGATGTTAACGAGGGTCACATTTGGCCCCCGGGCCTTCAGTTTGACACATATGATGTAGATGTTGAAAGATAGAGATAGCCTTTAAAAATGTAATACCAAGAATCATCATTTAAGCCAGAGAACCCAGAGAAAACCCATGAAAGCACAGAGAGAACATGCAAACTCCACCCAGAAAGGCCCCCTGGCCAATCTGACAACCTTAGCTGAGAGTCAACAGCTCCACCAACTGAGCCACCGTACTGGCCCTGCTGATGGTTTCTTCCTGTGAAAAGGTGTCACTCCTCTGCCACCAGTGAACCTGATGAGAGATTGTGATGAAGTGGAGATCTGATGCAATCTGCTAGCTACCATAATTCATAACTTTTACTGACTGATATTGTATATTGCTTCACTAAGTGGGTTGAGATTACTTTTGTTGTGAATTGGTGCTATATATACTGTAAGTATACTGTATATATATATATATATATATATA